CGCAGATATATATCTTTGTCTTTGCGAGATATTACAATTGTTATGTCCTTCAAGGATTCACTCCGTAAGGTGTTGGTAGAGGGTGATGTAGACAGAAACATGCTCTTGAAAAATATTATTATTGACGCCAGTAACAATTCTTGCACATGGCAAAAAAAAGTATGCTTGATCTTCGTTGAAACTGGCATATATACATATATATCCATATATTTTTCTTTGAGTCTTTCCTTTCCTCTTGCAGGCCCTGCAGGTTATTACCCACGCTCTTAGTCTCCATGGTGACGATGCTGACCTTTATTATCATCAAGGAAATTTGCATAAAGACTTGAAAAACATGCAACAGGCTAAGGAAGTAAGAGTGACAAGATGTGAAATTTGTCTTAATACACCATTTTAGCTTGGGTAGTTTGTTGCCCCATTTCAGACCATGTGACGACACTCTTGAGAATTCTTGCTGTAAAATTTTCAAATGGTCGCGTGGCGTGTATATGAATGATTAATTTTTTAAATGGATAAAAGAATGTCAATTCTCTAGAGAATTCAAAATCACGTGGTCTGTTATGGAGAAAAAAACGCCCAAGCTTAGAAGGTTTATGGACGGACCATCATTGTTTCGAGGGGGTGTTGCGCAATTTTCTCGGGAATGAATTGTTTTCTCACCTTTAGGTTATGCATGATTTTTTTTGGTGGGCCTTTTTTGCTGTGCAGCTTTTTTTCTGGATATTGCCCGTACCTCCTAAAAAAAAATAGTGGTCAGTCTCTTATTAGTCGGATTTCCTTGATGTTCATCCAGTCTCAGTTGTGTTGTTAAAATTTGGTAATGATTCTCCTGGAAGGGCGTTGGTCCAATGCGATGACGTGCTACATTTGGTCTGGACAAATGTCTTAAGTATATTCCTTGATATTTCACGGGGGAAAAGAATGTTACGTGCCAGCTTCGTACGTACCATCTAGCGTTATGCAAATGTACACAGGTCATCGGTAATCACAACTGGGTCGTTGCACAGTTCCCCTTTAAGCGGCCTTAATGCATGCAAAGGCTTGAAAGGGAATAA